TTCTGTTCGCTAAGCTAATTCAGGGAGATGACTAGACACTCTATATTTCTATCAGGGAGATTGCAGTGAGCTCGGTATTGCTTCAAGAGAAGGGCATGGCTAACTTCAGATCTATTATGTGAGTCGAGTAATGCAAGGTACTGAGTTGAAGTATTCAGAAAATTGAGTGGGGGTAGAAAGATGTCCTGTTTCAAAGTGCCTTCACCATTTATTAGAAACATTTATAAGGACATTCAAATTCCAATGGGGTAGTGGGGTAGAAAACTGCACTAGGTTTCTTAGGATAATTTGGCTAGGGATAAGGAGGAAGGTGGGCTGGGGTTTAGAGATATTAGTGATTTTAATGAAGCCTTGCTTTTAAAACAACTATTGAGGATTATTTCCAAACCCAACTTGTTAGTCAGCAAACTGATGAAAAAGAAATACTTTTGGAATCAAAATCTAAGGGATATTTATTTAAGAGGTCTGATTCTTAACAGTGGAGATGTTGGGGGCTAATAGTCTTTGGACTTGGGGTTAAGGTACCAAGTGGAGGATAGAAAAAATCAATTTCAGTATAGGAGTCTCCTTGGCTACCCAACAACTGTACTTGTATGCCATCTTTTATTTTTCAGGGGGATAGGGGTAATATTGATAGGATGAGTTAATTTATTCATCAGTGTTGTAACAAATGAGAGAGAGAAATTGTTTTGCAATTTTATAATCCTCCGGATGCTGATATTATTTTACAAATCCCTCAAAGTCAATTTGGAACAAAGACTTTCTAGTGTAGCACTGGGACAATAAAAGACTTCTGACTGTAAATAAGGTGTCTGAGGCAATCAGGGGGAATAGGAGATAATCTGGTCAGGAAGTACTGCTGGGGAAAGGAGGATGTAAAAAACCACCAAGGCACTACGAATTGAAAGCAAGGTTAAATTCTTCTTATGGAGGTGTTGGAAAGGGTTTGTGGCCTTAAAACTGCAACTGCGTAAGAAGGGAGTTGAGTTGGATGTTGTGTGTGGTTTGTATGGTTAACAAGAGAAAAATATTGATCATATGCTTCTCTATTCTCCATATCTGTCTCTGTTCTGGAAACATAGTGGATTATATTAGAGGCAACTGGATGATAAGGAAATAAGTTTTCAATCCTGGTGGACTAGCATCTGCTTAATTGAAGATTAGAATTGCAAATCTGAGAGACTCGGCTTTTCAACACTTGTGCTTTGGAGAATTCAAAAGAACATGGATGTTTGGCAGTTTCTTAGAGAATGGAGGTTTGGAATCTGATACTGTGATGGAGGCTAGAGCTGAATGGTTGGAATTTCATGATCTTTATAAAAGTTCAAAATAAGAAAGCATGACTACTCAAAGAACTATGGGATCTCATGTAGAAAACTTTTCCAATAAGGTAGGACAGGTAGGTTGTTTTGTTTCTACAAGAGGGGACATAGGTGTTGGGTGTGTAACTGAACTTGATGGATATGAATTGGATATTGGTCATCTTTGATGGATGGAGTAGTTCAGAAAGAAGAGTCCTCCTGCTGTTTGTTAGATGGAGTTTGCAGAAGGTGAAAGCCCTTCAGGTAGACAGTCTACTGTGCAACATTGCTGAGCAAGGGATAACCAGAATTTTGCAACAAAAACTGTGAGCAGCTTGAGCGTGAGACCAATTGTTCTTCACATCTTAAGGCTTATTGGGGGTATTGTTGATTGTATTTTTGTTTTTTACCCTGTTATGTGTGTTTCTAGCGTGACGTTAGCTAATTTTGCAGTTGAGGGGCTATAAGTTGTTTTAGTCGCAGTAGGTGCTTAGTTCTTGGTGTTCTTGTAGTTTGGGGTTGTTATATCCAGTTGGAGAGTAATACTCCACTACCCACGGTGGGCACATGTTAATATGCCCACCGCTTATGTGGCATGGACACATTGGTGATGTTAATATGTTCAAAAATATACATCACCAATGTGTGCATGTCACATAAACGGTGGTCATATTAACATGTGCCCACCGTGTATAGGAGAGCATTATTGTCCAGTTGGATGCTTGGTTGTAAAATGATTATTTGAGCTTTAAAATAATAACTTTTATTGTTTCATGAAAAAAAATAAACGATGGCTAATTGGAAGAGAATCAAATGAAAAAAAAAAAAAAAAAAAAA